CCGGGCGATCGGTCTTCGAATACCCTTGTTGGTGCGTGCCGCGGATATATCCGCTCGTCGGATAGCTCAGGTCTAACATGACAGAATGTTTTGCCCTGGTTTGGTCCTCTTTTTGAGGGCTGTGAATGTCACTGGTCGACCTGTAGCTTGTACACGTACTTACAGTACATATACTCCGTACAGAGTACGGTACATCTGATAGATACCCACTCCGACAAAGCGAGTTACAAGTTTAAGTTCTTTTTACAGGAGCGAGATAGTTACTATACCAAAACGTAAGAGCTATGAGCACGATTCTCAACCGCCGTGCACTGAACCCATAGACACGCGCAGATCATCCCTATTACTGAGGCTTGGAAAGATCAGCTTCAGGGTTCAGCCTTACAAAGGTCTTACATGCTATGTATATTCGTGCGATAAGCCGTGATTTCGATCATTGGTTCATTGGTGGGTAAGTATCTCTTGTTCCCTGTGATAAAAGCTGATGGACACCTGTGGTTCCAGGTACGCACGTAAGACAAACATGCCACGATTCACAGTATCCTTGGCGTCATGGCATATTGAAATAATAGCCGCAAGACAAGCTTGGATAGATAGAAGCATTACATATAAAAACTGATGTCTCGAAGTGCGGGTCGGAGCTGTGCCGATCATTGCTTGCCAGTATATCCCGAGAGCCTGTATTCGGATGAAAGAAAGGGTCCCCAGAAACGTTGTGGACTAACGCATTGACTTTTCCAGGATAGGCCCAGTGACAGGAATGTCGTCAGAAGCTGTGTTTTGAAAGTTGCAATAATATCTAGCCAGCTCTCCTTTCTTGGGTGTTTCAAATGATAATCTATCATGCCTGCTCAGAGGGGCGGTAGGATCCCTTGTTAGTGCCATAATGTCAGCGCCACGATCAGCCTTTGGTCCGCCCACACTGCACAGCTTAATCTTAACGTTCCCTCAAGCATTATTCCTCGAGGATTTCGAATCCTTGTATGGAAAGTGTACTGAAAGAAGCAAACGCCACCACCCTGAACCAAGCCCGTCCGAATAGAGATTGCCATTGCCGTGGCTCCTCGCCATCATATTTCTACCAAACATCATATCATTAGGGGTGGGAATAGACGGTACAAGTCTGAATCGCCAGAGGTGAATTGTTGAACGTCGCAATTAATATTTCAAAAGGATGTTTGAAAATAAAAGAAGAAGATGGATGGGAAGAGGGAAAAATGAAAAAGAGGGGGAATTCAGAGAAGTGGATCATCTTTCATTTCCGTCTGCAGCTGCAGCAGGATGGAGAATACGATGCATCGGTTGCAGACACGAGATATCCTTCAGCCTTGTGAGCCAGCACCAAGAAACGATCAATCTGGGCAACAATGAGCTTGACTCATTTAAGCTAGACGCTGCGTTCCGTGTGTGGCGTTCTTGGCTTCAAGTTTCAATGATCAGCTGCAGGCTACAACATCTCCGCCATAAGTCATCTGGTAAAACAATAGAATTCGATACTGCTATCTATCAGAACTCATTATTCTGCTTTGTGAAGAGATCAAAATAAATCCTTTGTTTTTATCCAGGGGCATGCGGGGGAGCATTCCTACATATCGATCCACCCTGCGCCAAGCACCAGATAACTCACTCTTATTTGAAAAGAAGAGAATTACAGTACTCCGTACATTTCCCACAATCCTTGTCAGCTTATTCCTACTAGCGGGAAATCAGAACATCGATATGCCTGGCGAATTCTTATCTCTCCATTTCTCTGATGGATTCGTCATCGGATGTGGAACAGTCTGCATCGATCTCACGAAGGACCTTGTCCTCCTTCTCTATGTCGCATAAGCGTCAATACCATCTCCCCAAGGGCGCAAAATGTGGCGAGAGTCTAGAAGATGCTGCGTCCGTGAGACGTTCGAGGATCTGG